CAGAGCTATGCATACGATGCCAGCGCGGGTGCGTCCCGCCGTTGACGGTATTGCCATGGTGATGCGGGTTTGTGGATGGGTCATGCACCGTCCACCCTAAGCGAAATCTGTTGTTTCTTGGTCCCCTTCCCATCTTCTTCACCAGCTTCTCCTCCAACCCAGTTTCCTCCTCTTCTTCACATCTCAGATACAAGATGCTCCATTCTTCTTTCTCATCCACTTTCGTCGCGCCTAGTTTTCGTTTCGATCATATCCGCCGCTACTAGCCATGGCGGATGTAGGAGAGTCTTGTGAGTCTCCCGCCGCCGATGATGGTTCTGGACTAGGTAGGGACCCCCCCTTGGAGGTTCGTAGATCTGCTCTAGATATCTTGCGGTCTCCCACCGCAGTCGCAATACCATCACAACCCGTATCTACTCCCGCTCCCTATGTACCTCCGCCCGCTGTCGCTTCATCTAGCTGGGGCCCTTGGGTTCCAGACTGCGAGACAGCCACGACCGTGCGTTACACGGTCGAGTGTGCTTCCACAATTTCATCTGGGAAAAAAGCACGCCAGGGGAAGTACACCAAGAGCACGATAATCCTCGGCGGGAAGCTACGTCGACCGTTGCCGCCTCGCACGTCGCCTGAACCTCAGGCCCCTGCTATTCCAGAACCCAAGCCGCCGAAACTCTCAAAGAAAGAACTCATCGAGCAGAAGTATCTCATGGCTGAGCACAAGTATAAGACCTGCTGGCTTCCATTTTTCCCTTGGCTTCTGTTAACGAAAACGAAAGACGGTTACCCTGCGTTGAAGTGCAGTGTGTGCAAGGCTTTTGGCAAAAAGACAACACCGTACTCCAACAGCCGCGACGGGGCACGTGACCTGCAGACGCAAGCGATGCGGTTCCACGAACGCACGTCATCCCACGAAGTAGCTGTCAAGCGTCAGATGGAGATCGCTGAAGACATCGCAAGCACCCAGAGGCGCATGGAGAATTACGCGCGTGCTGACATCGAGGGGAAGCGCGTCATGAGGCTCCTACGATGCGTCGACTTCCTATGCAAGTGTGATGCACCCATCAGCATGTACCCGAGGCTACTCCGCTTCATGGACAAGCAGGAGGCCCCAGACATTCCGCTGCAGTCTTACGGAGTCTACCTGACACGGTAATGCACTGATTCCAAGTACACCGTATCCTTCATTTGTTTAATAGGTATAACAACCTCCCTGTTGCTACTTCTGCTACTACAGGTATGGCTTCTGTCAGCTCGTCAACAGCTTGGCATCCTACCTGCAGCGCTGACAAATGCAACACATTCTCGCCTCACCCTACCTCGGCATTAGCTGCGACGAGAGCACTGACCATACTCGCGGTAAACATCTCATTGTTTATCTAACCTTCTTGCGTGCGCATCGTGCTGTCACAGAGTTTTTTGCTCTCTTGACCGTCGAAAAGTGCGACGCCGCGTCTCTCCTCGTCGTTCTTCTGGCGCACTTGCGAGCAACTGGCATCGACCTCTCCCGAATCACCGGCATGAGCACCGACGGCGCCTCTGTCATGGTCGGCCGAGACAATGGTCTCGTCGCCCGACTTTGCGAGCACATCCCCCATCTCGTCTCTTCGCACTGCATCGCGCACAGGTTACACCGCTTGTTATTTCAGTCGCTTAGGTCTCCTACAAGTGCTTGACTAAAATTCCTGTGTGTGCACCATGCAGGGAAGCCCTGGTGGTGAAGGACGCCGCCACTGCTTCTCCAGACTTTGACATGGTCGACCATGTGATTCGGACTCTGGCCGATCTTCTGGGACGTTCATGTGTCTGGAGTCAACGCTTCAAGTACCTGCAGCGGGCAATATACAACACCAACCTTGAAGTACAAGGAATTCACATCGTGCGATGGCTTTCAAGGGGTGAGGCTGTGCGGCGCCTCTGTAAGGTCCTTGGCGCCGCTATCATTCTGTTTCATGAGTACGAGCATGAGTTGTATAAAGTCGTCATCTGTTACAAATTCAAGTTCTGTCTTTTTTTCCTGGCGGACGTGCTCGGAGTGATGAATGAGCTCAACCTCAAATTCCAGAAGAGAGAGGTGAGCTTCTACCACTGTGCATGTTGTAGGTTTTGTCCCATGCATTAACGTTTGGAATCACCCTCTGACTCACCTCCCTTGTCTGTCACTTCCACCAGGTCGATGTCACGGAAGTGACGAAGGACATCGGCGAGGCGACAGGGGACCTCCGCCACCGCTACCTAAAGTGCGGAGAGGTGTTTGGTGGGGGGGTCGAAGGCATGTGGCTTTCGGCTTTCTTGGCTGTCTACGGGCGCGGAGGGAGCAAACGCGTAAAGGTCCGGGGCATCGATAAGGACGGCAACCCAATCACGCACACCTACACCATGCACAAGAAGCAGATCGACGGGCATGCCTTCCGTAGCAAGTACCCCGATTGCGAGTGGCTCTGCGTGCAGTTTACGAAGGACACGATAAGCTTCCTGAAGACGAGGATGCTGGACCTGAACAATCTCGCCCTGACAAAGCTCTTCCGCGTGTCGAAGTGGCCGCGGATGAAGCAGCAGAGAGAGAAGAAGCTGAAGGAGTACCTACATGGCTGCAGTGCCCTTTTTGACAACAGGCTGCCAGGCTTTACATTGCAAGCTGCACAATAGGAGCTGGTTACGTGGGCGCCACTGATGCTGAGCCACCATGCCGACGAGGGATTCCATCAAGGCCTGACGAACTACCTCGGCTCGACGGAGTCGAGCTTGTGAGTGACTACTGTTCGAAGGACGTTTGTTGCATGTTTTCGGGCCGGTTCTAATCTTCCCCTTGGAAGTTGTTGTTTATCGCTTGTCGGCTAGTTGCACTAATGCAGTGGTCTTGTTCTTTGCACTCTGTTCCCCCAACCGTTTTGGCAGGCGCTGGCCCAACCTGATGTGCTTGTGGCAGGCGTGCGCTGTCCTGCCGCTTAGCACAGTGGAGTGTGAACGAGGCTTCTCGCGGCAGAACGTCATCAAGTCATGGGTGCGGGGCGCGTTGTGCAATGCGCGCCTCAGCAAGCTGATGGTCATCTCCCTGCTGCAGTATGAGATTGACTGGGACGAGGCCCATGAGTGTTGGCGCGAGAAGCTGAGGCGCCCTGCTAAGTCTGTTCTGTTTGCTTCAGCGAAGAGGAAGCGTAAGGCCAAGGCGATTGAGGGGGCAGAAGGGAGGGTGGAGGAGGAGGCAGTCCCCGACTACATGGGGGATTGGGCAGAGGATGAGGGAGAGGAGGGGGTAGAGGGGGGAGAGGCTCCTCCTGAAGTGGAAGACAACCCGTTTCTGTCCGATGACGAGACAGAGGACGAAGTGAACGTGGATGGCCCAGAATTTTAGTCAAGGGTAGCTAGTGGCGTGGAATCTTGTGAAGTGTAGACTAGAGTAGATAGAGGACTTCACTAAATCTGTAGACTGGTGTAGTGGTGCTTTTGCTAAACTACTAACTGTACAATCCTAACGTTCGCTTAACTGATTTTTTGCATGTGCAATCCAACCATGTTTGTGCCTAGCCAACCCTTGAGGTTTCAGGGTTGCATGTTCCAGAACACTGAGAAATCAGGGTAGCCAAAACTTCAACACAAGGCCCTCAGGGTTAATTTTTTTTTTTTTTTTTTTTTTTTTTTAATCCATTCGATAGCTCAGGGGGCTTTTTTTTTTAAACGTCAGCCCTGTGTGTCAAACATATTGTGTATATGTCTTATAGGTTAGATAAGTGCGAACTCTTAGAGGGTTCAGCCCCTTAGGGCGTACCCTTCGTAGTGGTGCTCCGTACCAGGATAGCAACAAATGCGTCTGAACACCGTGCTGTAATTGCCGATTTTCAAGAAGCTGTTCAGTACCAGGATAGCACGTTTCACAAGGGGTCGTACAATTTGTACGATTCGTTTCGACGAAACGGAATGACACGCGGCATGCATGCGACGCATCAGGTGCTGTTCGCGCGAATGTTATTGAGTCAACCCACCAATCAAAAGGCACGCGAGCGACCAAGCTGGCTTCTGGTTCTGGTACTGGTCTCGGTAAGAAAATTCATCCCCAGTGTTCAGGAACCCATTTCTGTTGCTGGTACTGAACACCACTCCGTAGGAAACCACCTTGTTTGCCGCACTCTAGTCATTGTTATGATTTAGAAGATGTCAATGTACTATAACGTGAGAATACAAGGTCACTATTGCAATGAAAGCACGAGGTTATATAGGAATAGACGTACTAGGGCGATAACCACGGAACGTGAGTAGATTCGGCAATGTGGCGACAGTGTCGGACGCGAATCGGGAAAGGGTTGGGCCGAAAATGAAGGCCGAACGTGACGAGTCGAGATGTTCGGGTGTACGCGGTAGCGGTCGACGCAGTAAGGAATGGCAATTCCTTACACTACCCCCCCCTCCTAAACGAGTTCGTGGGCATCGGAGACATTCCGACGCTGATAATATGCCGTTAGAATCGGATGTGATTCTAGGTCAGCGAGGGGCACCCAGCTGTCGTCTTCGGACATGCGATCGCGCCAGCGGACGAGGAAGCCAACCATCCGACGGTTCAGCTGCGTTGTGACGTGATGTCCCAAAGGCTCGGTCGTCGGTTCCTGCAAAGGCGTTAGCTGCAGTACACCGCGGTTTCGTGTCAAGGCCGACGAACTCGGGACGTAGGGTCGGAGAAGACTGACGTGGAAGGCCGGGTGGTGGCGCCAATAAGCCAGTAATCGAAGGTGAACAGTGACAGGTGTCACCAGGTTGGTCACTGGAAAAGGTCCGCAGAATCTGGGTCGGAGTTTGCTCGGGATCGGCAGCCGCAAATTGCGAGTGTCGAGGAGGACGAGATCTCCCACTTTGTAAGTGACGTCACGTCGATGTCGATCGGCTTGTCGGCTTGCGACCAGATTGGCTTTCCTGATTGCCCCAGCGGCCTTTTCGCGGGCAGCGAGAATGTCTTCAGCAAATTTCCAGGACCGGGGTACGGGTGTCTCGATGTTCGGGGTAGAGGGTACCACGGGGTCCTGTCCGTAATTGAGGAAAAACGGAGACTGATGGGTTGTGGCGGAGGATGCGTTGTTATACGCGAACTCCAGCAGCGGGAGAGATTTCTCCCATGTCGATGGGTCAGTACAGGTAGTTCGAAGGAGTTGCTCCATGGTCTGGTTGACGCGTTCGGTCTGCCCGCCGGTCTGTGGGTGGTAGGCGGAGGAAAATTGGAGTTTGGTGCCGAACTGGTCCCACAGGTGGCGCCATAAATTCGATGTGAATTTCGGGTCTCGGTCTGAAATGATGGCGGAGGGCAGTCCGTGCAGTCGGATGACGTTCGCGAGGAACAGTTGTGCTGTTTGTTCGGCTGTAATTGTCTGTTGGCAGGCGATGAAGTGCGCCATTTTCGTGAGTCGGTCGACGACCACGAGGATGGCGTCGTTTCCGCTGGGACCGGCCGGCAGTCCTGTCACGTAGTCCATCGTGACGTGTTGCCAGGGTCGCTGAGGCGGATCCAACGGCTGTAGTAGTCTGGCTGCTCGCTGATGCGACGGATTTCATAATCTGGCAGGCAGTGCAGGAGGACACGTATTTGCACACGTCATCGGCCATGTTCGGCTAGTAATAATTCCTCTGCAGCATCTTCAAGGTTTTGTCGACGCCGAAATGTTCGGAGGTAGGGTTGTCGTGGGATTCCTGGATTAGGAGGGTACGAAGAAAATCGTAGCCGGGCACCCAGAGGCGAGAAGTACCGCGCTTATTAAAATAAGGTCCGGTGGCGGTGGTATGCTGTTGATGGATAGCAGAGCGGAAAAAGGGATCGATCTTGTAGCCGTGGGTGAATAGTCGCGTAAGTAATGGGTTTGTCTGGGCGACTAGTATAGCGGCAGTATGGGCAGTGGGCCGAGTCAGGGCATCGGCAATATTATTTGCCCCTCATTTGTAGGTGATGGTGTAATGGAAATTCGACTCGAGGAAATCGAGCCATCGGATCTGTCGCGGGTTGAGATTCGGTTGGGCGCGCAGGTATTGTAAGGACTTGTGGTCAGTTCGCACTGTGACGTCAGCGCCTGTCAGGTAGCACCGCCAGGTTCTGAACGCGTGGACGATCACCAACATTTCTTTATCGTGCACTGTATAGTTCTTCTCTACGCCCAGCAGCTTCCGTGATTCGTAGGCGATTGGCTGTAACCCGTCGCCAAAATCCTGTAGGAGAACTGCACCGATGGCGATGTCGCTGGCGTTGGTGACGACTTCGTAAGGACGGTCGTGTCACAGGATCGAATGTGTCGAGGAAAGGTTGCACTATCGATCAGTACAAGGCGCTTTTATACTTCCAGAGTACATCAGGTAACCAGGTTTATCCTATCCTAAGGGAATAGACCCTTCTAGAAGATAGAATCACCCTGCGTATAGCCACGCGAGGCTATTGGCTTTAAGGGATTACGACAGGATTACGCCAGATAGCGCACCAGTACATCCCAAGCCTGGTCGGTGATATAACTATAATAGCAGGATAAACCAAAGGTTAATGGAAAATGGAGAATAGGAAACCAAATGAGATGAGATCAAAAAAGGAATGAAAGAGGAAGGAAATAAGAAAAGGGACAAGTGGTGTAACGGGGTCGTACTCTCACACTTCCCCCCCTCAAAGCTGGGTGGTAGAAGTAACACCCTGCTTGACAAGGTAGTCATGCAGAGGACGACGGGCGTTACCCATGTCGGACTCAGGGACCCAGCTGTCCTCAGAAGGATCATAACCCTTCCAACGGATGAGAAGCTCCACGGCGCCATTCTGACGTCGGCGGTGTGCAAGCACGGACTCGACCTCGTACTCGGGTTCATTCTGGACGAGGATGGGCGGCGGCGGCGGCGGTTGGCGTCCGACGAAGATCGTGTCTGGATACCGATAGGGCTTCAGAAGTTGGACATGGAAGGCGTTGTGAATCTTCCAGGTGGCTGGCAGACACAAGCGAAAGGTAGCAGGAGTAACCTGTGCTTCAACGAGAAAAGGCCCACAGAAGCGAGGTCGCAGTTTAGATGGGAGGTGGCTGATGTCCAGGTTGCGTGTGTCAAGAAGCACCTGGTCTCCCACCGTGATGGTGTGGTTGTTGCGATGGCGATCGGCCTGGCGCTTCTGTTGCTGCTGAATGTCGATGAGGCGCTTGTGGGTCCGATCCCAAAGCTGATGCATGGTTGTGATGAAATCATGGGCAGGTTACACTGTAGCGGATGTGGTCGGTTTCTGTGGTGTGAGTGGATAGCGTCCGTAGCAGAGGAAGAACGGCGTCTGTCCAGTAGCGGCATGTGTGGCATTGTTGTAGGCAAACTCCAGGACGGGCAGATGCAAGTCCCACTTGGAGATGTCGTCCTTGCAGGCTGCGCGGAGGAGTTGCTCAACAATTTGGTTGAGGCGCTCGGTCTGTCCGTCTGTCTGCGGATGGTATGCGGATGACATGGCGAGTTTGGTTCCGAGAAAAGACATAAGTTCCTTCCAGAACTTGCTGGTGAACTTAGGGTCTCGGTCGGAAATGAGTGTGGTTGGAATGCCATGCTGTGAGATGATGTGACGAACGAAGAGTTGTGCTGTCTCCTCGGTGCGTGCCGTCGTGTGTGTCGGGATGAAGTGTCCCATTTTGGAGAACTTGTCGATGACGACAAGGATTGCGTCATGACTGCTGGTGGTAGGTGGTAACCCGGTGATGAAGTCCAGGCTAACCACTTGCCATGGCTGTTCTGGGACAGGAAGAGGCTGCAGTAGTTCCGCCTTTTTCTGCTTGCTGCTCTTCATCCGCTGACATGTATCACACGAGGTGACGAATTTCTGTACGTCATCTGCCATGTGGGGCCAGTAGTAGTGTTTGGCGATACCGGTGAGCGTCTTGTTGCTACCGAAGTGTCCGGCATATAGGACGTCGTGGTATTCTTCGATTAGTAACTGGCGCAAAGGAGGGTAATTGGGTACCCAAATTTTCGTTGATCCTTTCCGGTATGCGATGTCACAGTTCCACTGTAGCAAATGTCGCTTTTCCGCCAAGGAGATTTCGGGGTCAATGGCGTACCCGTGTGTGAAGAGTCCCTTGAGTAGTGGATTCATCCCTTCAATCTGAATGGCGGCAACGTGTGCAGGCCGGCTAAGAGCGTCTGCTTTGTTTTTGTGGCCGGGCTTGTACACGATGTCGTAGTGGAAGTGTGTCTCGAGGAAGTCGATCCACCGGACCTGCCGCCTGGAAAGGTTGGGTTGTGTCTTCAAGTATTTCAGGCTGCAGTGGTCAGTGTAGACGGTTGTTCTTCGTCCTTCGAGATAACATCTCCACGCTTTGAAGGCGATGACGATGGCAAGGGCCTCTTTGTCGTGTATCGGGTAGTTTAGTTCTGCTCCATGTAGTTTCTTGCTGAGGTAGGCAATTGGTTGCAGTCCATTCCCCTGGTCTTGCATCAAGACTGCTACCACTGCCTGGTCGCTGGCGTCAGTTTCGATTACGTAGTCGCGTTCGGGATCTGGCAAGATGAGTACCGGTGCGGACGTGAGTGCTTGTTTCAGCTGCTCCACGGCTTCCTGGTGCTTTGGTTCCCATTTATAGGGCGTGTTCTTCTTCAGCAGATTCGTGAGGGGTGCTGCGAGTTTCGCATACTGTGGCACGAACCTGTTGTAATAATTAGCAAAGCCTAGGAACTGCTGCAACTCCTTCACGTTCTCAGGTGTCTTCCACGTACGTACGGCTTCGATTTTCTTGGGGTCGACGTGAACTCCTTGAGCGCTCACCAGGTGTCCTAGAAACTGGACCTTCTCAAGGGCGAATTCCCTCTTTGACAGTTTGACGTAGAACCGTTCTCGTCGAAGAATTTCGAAGACGCGTCGTAGGTGCTCGACGTGCTGCTTCATGTCGCGCGAGTAGATGAGGATGTCGTCCAGATACACCACCACGCAATCGTCCAAAAGTGGTCGTAGAATGTGGTTCATTTCGGCTTGAAACGTTGCCGGTGCGTTGGTGAGTCCGAACAGCATTACCAAATACTCGTACGATCCGTACTGAGTTCGGAAAGCAGTTTTGTGGATAGAGTTGTCCGCCATCCGTATCTGCCAGTATCCGGACCGCAGATCCAGTTTGGAAAATACCGTAGCTCCCCGAAGCTGGTCTAGCAGGTCATTGATTCGCAGTATCGGATATTTATTCTTGATGGTCTGCTTGTTAAGAGCTCGGTAGTTGATGCACATGCGCAGGCTTCCGTCCGGTTTCGGTGTGAAGAGTACTGGGGCACCGTATGGCGAAGTGGATGGCCGGATGAGTCCTTTGGCTAGGAGATACTCGATCTGTTTTTTCATGTCGGTCAGCTCCGTAGGGCTGAGCCGGTATGGTGCTCGGAAGGTCGGCTTCGATCCCGGTTCCTCCACGATCTCGTGTTGATGCGTTTGGTATGGCGGTAGCTCATTCGGAAGATCGTCAAGAAGAATGTCTTGGAACTCCTTCAGTAAGTCCTTGATTTTTTCTGGAGGTTCCAAGGCTTTCTCTCCGTCGTTCTCCACTGCTGTTGCTATCGCCAGGAACCCGGTGTCGGTTCGCTTCACGTCCTTCTCGAATCTGGCGAGTGTCTCCACTGGGATATCTCCTGTATCGTCCCAGTTGGGTAGCTGTACTCTCCGTCCATTGTTGTAGATGCTTGCGGTGTGGTTCACCCAATTGAACTCGGGGTTGAATCTTTTCAGGAAGTCTCGCCCGAAGATCAGGTCAAGCCCTTTTATGTTGGTGATGGGGAGAGCAGGTCTCCAGCGCAGTGGCCCGATTTGTAGGTCTAGCACTGCTTCACCGTATACTGGTAACTTGCTGCCGTCCACCATCGTTGCAGAGAATCATGATGGCTTGTACTCTTCCCGAAGTCGGTCGATTGCTGCTTTGTTGCAGACGGTGTGTGATGCTCCACTGTCCACGAGTGCTTGGAGGCGTCGTCCTTTGCAGATGACCTCGAGCACGAGGGGCAGGCATTGCTCGGAGTACCCAAAGATAGTCTCATTGATTGGGTTATAGGGTACATCCCAATATTCCGTACACACCTTTGTGTTGCTATCTACTCCTGAGCTGGCAGCTGGCCGAGGCTGCTTGGAGAAAGGCTCTTCTCCAGGGCCCGGAGTTTCCTTGACGACTGTGCACGTCATTGATGCCGAAGAACTGGATGCATCCGTAGGAGAAGGAATTCGGGGTTTGTGCAGCTTCTTGTAGACCCCCAGCTTCCTCTTGAGCTGCTTCAGCTCCACCGACGTCTTCCCTGGGGAACGGGTGGTCGTTGTGGGCTGGTGTCGGGAGAGGAAGTTGACTCCGTGGAAAGGTCAGCTTCTTTCCACACTCCTTAATTTGGTTCCCAAGTTGTCCGGTACCGGTATAATCTCCACAGTTGTCTGCTTCTTTTGGAGTCCCTCCCGAAATTTCTCCAAGGCTCTAGCTCCTCGAAAATCATAAGTTTTCATTAAAGCATCTTTGTAAGATAACTTCAATGAATCCTTATAATTGCTTGGGTCTTCAAGGAGTTTCCCTGTCTCGGCAGAGTCTTTTTTCGCGGAGTCGTATTTTTCCTCGGCGATTTTCCCTGGCGAAGACTGGTCGTGGGGTGGAGATTTTCCCCCATCATTTCCTCCTTCTCGCGTCGAATCAGCTTCGTCGAAGTTGATTTTCTCGGAATCCCGCGGCCGCTTCCAGATCTTTTTATTTTCGCCAGCTAGATCCGCAATTACTGGCGAGTCCCATTTTTTTGCTTCTGATTGGTCGAAGGAATTCCGCCACTGTTGCGTGCCTGATACTCTACACGTGCGGTTTTCATTTTGTTGCAGTCGAAGATTCGATGACCCGGCACCCCGCAAAAATCACACGTGTAGTTGGTGTTTTTCGGACGTGGCCGCCCTTCGAATCTGTCGACTTCCATCGGGTCGGCGAACGTGGGGTGAGCCGAGCGGTCGCCCTGTCGCGTACTGCCGACGTGCGTCCGTCGTGTTCCGGCGTTGACCATGTCGAAGCGCTCCGCGGCCGATACGACGTCACTGTAGCTCGCGTAGTTTGACGCTGCCACTTGTCCTTAGACTTCGGTCTTCAGCCCGGCGAGGTACGATTGTACTTTTTCCCCTTCGGTCAGGTCGGGAATGCGGTTATAAAATTCCTCCATCTGCTGCGTGTACTGCGCTACACTCCCGAACTGTCGGTGTCGATGATTTTTTTCCCGGGCAAGGAAACTCGAATTTATCGGCTCGAATCGTTTCAGCAGGTCGGCGCGGAACTGCTGCCACGTGGCTTCACTGTGGATGAAGGTACTGTTGCCGCCAATCCACTCGAGTGCCGGCCCTCGCATCAGTGTCGCCGCGAGTCGTACGCGTTGACCGTCCCAGACTGGCGAGCTCCATCCAACGGCTGCGAAGTAGATCTCCATCTCGGCGATCCATCTGCGGACGTCGGAGTTTCGATCGCTCGGATCGAACGGCTCAGGTGGACGCGGTTTCGGAGCCTCGAGAAACTGTTGCGACTGCTGCGTCGTCGTCGTTGTCGTTTCGTGTTGCGCTCCGGCGAGTCGAGTTACTCGCTCGAACTCGTTTCGCCACGCTTCGCGGTCCGCTCGCATCTCCTCCTGAAGGGCTGCGATGCGCGCGAAGAGCTGCTGGGTAACCTCGGCGTTGTCGAGGTTCGCCATCCTGTGTAAAAACACGCGCGGAGGGGGTAATTCGAAAAAACGCTGAGCTGGTGCTTACCAGAATCGGCGTCGAATTGGTCGCCCCCGGCGGTTTTTCGAGGCAGGATCCCCGCTGCTGCTGCTTAGCTGAGCGCGGTCGAGTGAGAAAAGCTCTGATTACCAAGTGTCACAGGATCGAATGTGTCGAGGAAAGGTTGCACTATCGATCAGTACAAGGTGCTTTTATACTTCCAGAGTACATCAGGTAGCCAGGTTTATCCTATCCTAAGGGAATTGACCCTTCTAGAAGATAGAATCACCCTGCGTATAGCCACGCGAGGCTATTGGCTTTAAGGGATTACGACAGGATTACGCCAGATAGCGCACCAGTACATCCCAAGCCTGGTCGGTGATATAACTATAATAGCAGGATAAACCAAAGGTTAATGGAAAATGGAGAATAGGAAACCAAATGAGATGAGATCAAAAAAGGAATGAAAGAGGAAGGAAATAAGAAAATGGACAAGTGGTGTAACGGGGTTGTACTCTCACAGGTCGGGATCGGAGATGCGAAGGACGGGCGGCGACGTGAGGGCGATTTTGAGTTGGTCGAATGCAGCTTGCTGCTTCTCTCCCCACCAAAAACAGTCGTGATCCTTCAGTCGGTCGGTTAGCAGGGCCGATAACCTAGCCATATTTGGGATAAAACGGTGGACGTAGTTGACGAAACCCATAAAACTCTGTAGTTCTTTGAGGTTGGTCGGCGGCTTCCATTCCTGTATGGTCTTGATTTTCTTGGGGTCGATTTTCACTCCTTATGTACAAACGACGTGGCCCAAAAACTCCAACTCCTGCTCAAGAAAGTCGCACTTAGACCCTTTCGTGATGAGGCGATTCTTGTGCAGCAGTGTGAAGACTGCATCAAGATCTCGTAAGTGCTGCTCCCGGCTGCGGCTGTAGATTAGTATGTCGTCGAGGTAGATAATAACACATTTATCCAAGAGCTCCCGGAAGATGCCGTTCATGGTCATCTGGAACGTTGAAGGCGCGTTCGTGAGGCCAAAAGGCATCACCAGGTATTCGTAACTGTCGTAGCAGGTTCGGAAGGCGGTTTTGTGACAGTCTTCGGCGGCGACGCGAATTTGGTGGTAACCCCCTCGCAAATCGATTTTCGAGAAGTACTTGGCTCCGCGAGTTGGTCGAGTAGTTCGTCAGCTCGCCGGATCGGGTAACGCGACTTGATGGTGATCCTGTTGAGGGCACGGTAGTCGATGCACATGCGGAATCCGCCACCTTTTTTTGGCGTGAATAGTATGGGGGCGGCGTATGGGGACGTGCTGGGTCGGATAAAACCCTTCGTCAGGAGGTAATCTAACTGCTGCTGCAATTCTTCGAGTTCCGGTTGGCTGAGCCGAAATTGTCACTGTACTGTCGGTTGTGCGCCTGGTTCCAGCTCGATGCGATGGTCTTCGGGTCGTCTTGGCGAGAGTCTCGCGGGTAGGTCGTCCGGGAAAATCTCGGGGTATTTTCGAATCAAGTCCGCTAAATCCGGAGGAACGGCTTCACACAGCTTCGCGATATCTTCCGCTTTTGTCAGAGTCGTTACTTCACGAAGATCAACGGCGTACGCTGCAGCTCCCGCCTTTATTGCATGCTTGAAAGTTATCGTGTGGACTTCAGTACTTCGCATGCGGGGTCCCGTCCATTTCGGTAACTCGCGATAGTGCCCAACGATTTTGATCCTGCAGCTGCCCGTCGTCCAGTCAATCCTTGGGTTGTACTGTCGCAGCCAATCCCGTCCCAGCAGCACGACGCACCCATCGAGTGTGGTCGCCAGCAGCCCCATCCGAAATTTTACGTGCTCGCCGTAGTGGAAACTGACGTGCTCCACCCGCTCTCGTATTGCCAGCGGTGTTCCATCCACCAGTCGTGCGTCAATTTTGGGTAGACACTTTAATAAGGGGATACCCATTTTCTTAGCCCTGTCCAACTGTATGAGACTGTGACTCGCGCCTCCATCCACAAATATTTTCAGCAACACCCCGTTGACTGTACCCTCCACCAACACAGGGTGATCAGCAGTTTCGTCCCCCTTATTCGTCCGGGTCCGGTCGATTGCAGCAATCGGGATCACGACCCGGTGGGGACTGTGTGGCTCGGGCGAAGAAGCCTGCCCGTCAGTAAGGGTCCCGGTACTTACTGACGCGACCCATTTCCCGGTCGCTCCTCCGGCTTCTTCCCCATAGAATTCTGGATGGCTAGGAGCTCTTGGCAGTTGCGTTTGATGTGACCCGGTCGGCCACAGTGGTAGCATAGCCCCGTATTGCGCGGAGCAATTGCGTAAATATCCACCGCGTCCATCCTTTTTATCGTGGCGCACTGGTACTGTTCTTGAGGGCGACCTCCGTCATAGAAGTTCGTCCCCGTGAGCGAATCAGCGGCTTCGGCGAGTTGGATGAAGTCCTGTAACCGCTTTGCAGGTCGTTGTAATTTTATTTGGTACTGTATTTCAGGCTTCAGCCCGCCCATGTACCTGTTGACCTTCTCCAACTCGTGCATGTAGCCACATCGATCCGCCAACGTCAAGAATGACGCGGTGTAGTCGGACACAGATCCCAGCTGCTTCCACATGCGTAAAGTCTCGCGCGCTTTGTCTGAGTCAGGAGCATGCTCAAATCGCTTGCACACCTCTGCGCACCACGTTGCCCACGTGCGAATGTGAATTGCACCAAACAGCAAATCTGCCTCGTCTTCGTCGCCGAATTCTTCGGACCACTCATGCTGTCCTTCCGTGCGAGTTGCCGCTGAGTCGACGATGACCTTCCACCACTGTAGGGCGGCCCCTTGCAGCAGTGTCAACGCATGGCTGATCCGCTTCTGATCATCTCGGATGCCCACCGCGTTAAAATATATATCCACGGCGAATATCCACTGCCGCACCGTCACGCCTTTATTAGCTAGGTCGAAAGGAGCAGGTTGCTGATATCTCACGCCGCCACTTGTCGAGCGCGGGGCTGTTGCCGCTAGTCATGCCAGCTCTACTAGCGTCGGTTGCTGCTCACCCGCCTCGCTTCGTGCATCATCGCCCGGCTCCTCTGGATGCCTTTCCTGCGCCTGGCGAAGTCGTTGGTTTTCGTCGTGGAGGTTGTTGACGACGCTTGTCAAATTGTTCAACTGCTCCATTAATGCTTGCAGGTCTAC